GGACTACGATTTGAATCTTACGCGCCCCCACAATGCTTATCGTTCGTTCCGCACTCCGTTTTACCCCTTTCTCCATGGGTGTTGATTAAATACATATGCTTGCCATCGCCATAATTCGCGTTCCTTTTCAAATATTCGGTACATGCCGTGGAGTTATGATTGGGGGGACATACCTGGTGACCTCCAAACGTTAAAACTGGCAGTGCCACGTGCAGCGCCGAAAGCTAAACAAGGATGGAAGGATAGTTCAATCCTGTGTCGCATACAGGTGGATATTAGCTGAATAATTCATAGAATGAGTTTTTACGTCGCGATGTGATTTCCAGGCTGCCTACCACTGCAGATCAACCGGAGAGTAAACAGTTCCTAAATGAATGAAGACATTTGTTCAATCTTAAAGGCTCACGTAGTATACAACAGAGAAAATTTAACCCGCGAGGTCTAGAGATCCAGGGCACTCCGGCGCCAAATCCTACACGAAGGATTAAGAGCTACTTGATGTTAATAACTGGTCCACAGAAACAATGAACTAATTAATTGATAATAGGCAAAGCAATTAAGATCAGATGATTTCAGTGAAAGCTTTGTGATGAATTGGCTATCAATAATTCGCAGCATGTTGGACGTATTACTTGTCCAGCTGCATAGCGTCCACCCAGAAGCAATAAATACTGTGAAATTAGATTTATGGAAGTATCTTGGACAAGGAACAGGCTTTTTCTGGCCGTGATATGAATTTATGAGCATGCACAATAACGTTAAATTTCCCCAGAGCGCGACACATCCTGCGCTGTAGCGGGGGGAGAGTTAAAATCACTACTAAAATGTCGGATAGAATCCAGACAATACGTCGTACCATGTGCTGCAGACAATTATGTTGTGTATATCTAAGACTGCAGCTACTCTGTTGCTTGCGTTTAAATGTGCGAGTGCCGCATAGTCCCAGGTGATGCCATACCATAAATTCCCTGTATGGAACTTCCATATATCAAGGAACATTTATGATGAAGCTGTATCTCATTGTAGTGGACAGATTGCGAACCTCAGCAACCCATTAGACCATACCGGATGGAACCGTTTCTGCTTTCATATGGTTATTCCCACCAGGTCATTCAGAATACATATCTAAAAACATAGTCTCCCAGCCCTCTGGTTGAAATTTGGGAAAGGTCGGGTTACTTCGCTAGACTTACAGCAACCGCCGCTGCGTTGCGGTCAGCATTTTGAGCTTAGTGCCTTAAATGAGAGCTCAACTCGTCCACCTGACTTCGTTTGGTGGGCACCACGGCAGTCCCAAGTCTACATTAAATCATGAAATCCACATATAAATGTACGTTCATGCCACGCAGGATGTGTAACGACATCAGCTGTGTTCTTATTTACTGCATAGAACAGAGTAGACTAGTAAAACCTCCGACTGCTGACACCTACCTTTCCCAATTTATAATTTAAACTCATTTCATGTCTTACTTATTACTCACATGTATGCGGGCCTCAGCTGTAGTCATGTCAGTAAGTAATTGTGCGCCTCTTTGATGGCGTTTTTCACATGAAAAAAATATAATGTCACATTGCAAGACCACACGGGCCACACTCATTTAGGAAGCAAGTTTATTTATTAGGAAAGCTTTCTTACCATATCCCTCCTCTTTGTTTCCTGAAACAAGCAAAGTGCAGTGCGAAATGACACAAATAATCCGCTCCTTGAAAAAGCTGTTGCAGATTCGAAAGCCGTCCTTCACCAGGAATACACAACTTGCATCCATGTTTGGAGGGTTAGTTGTTTGATAGACGACCTGCAACGGCCGACTGGAACCGTGCATGGCATCAAAACGCTCGAAAACAGCCAGAATAAGGCAATATGATGAGGTATGGCAAAACTATCATCGGCTACAAAAATAAACGGAAAGTGGATGAAGCTCAAATGATGAATAACCGAGGCCGACACTTTACACCAACTTCAGCCTACGATGTTCCGGCGAACTGTCAGTACCCACATGCAGTCAAGAGTAGTGGATAAGTGTTTGCAAGTACCATCCCTGCTCATTAAGGCGATTCTGGAGGCTTTTCAGAGGCCTAAAGAACCGTCTACAGACGGAATGAAAGAAGAAAAACGGATGGAAGATCAAGTATTCCGACTGACAAAAATAAGCTGCACAGAAGCCGCTGAAAAGACCAGATAAAAAGTGTTGGAATCAGACGTCATTCATCAAGTACTGGTAGCACCGATTTCAACTATGTTTAACAGGTCGATGCAGACAAGCTTTGTATCCCAAGCATGAAAAAAAGAGTGGTTAAACAATTAAACTGAGAGACGCGCCAAGAACGTCCTAGGTATCTGCCGCCTGGTGAGGTTAACCGTGCCACTGCGAAAGACAGTGAGGAGATGGGACAATAAAGATATTGGCTGGATGACAACAGATCATGTGCCATGCGAGTCACTCGTATCATATGTAATATAACTTGACATTGCTTCATTTTACCTGGGTCAAAACACACCAGCTGTCGGAACCTTTTAGGCTCAAACAGACGTTCTTGAACTTGTGGATCACATACAGCATGTCAGCACTGCAGAGTCAACTATCGTAATACTTTTGGCTTGCACTCCCAGGGGCCCGGCAAAATTGAGGCAGCTGAATGGTGCTCAAAGTCAATCAGGATGTACCGGATGGCCGGTGAAAATCAGCAATCACAAGAGGCCGCACACCCCACCATTTGAAATCATGTCCAATACACGAAAAACCCTTTGAGCATGGTTGACGTCAGTAACAGCTCACTGGTGGATAATCCCCAGGGTACATGCACCATTCTTTTGATCGTAGACTGAAGGAATACGCGCCCCAAACAACGCGGGGTCACAGCAAGGTCGTGGCCGAGGGCTACATTCAATCATACTCTCGTTTACATACTCCCTACTGTTTGGGAAATGAGCCTATTATTATCAGGCTGACGGCATCTCCAATTCATGAAACCTCGCTGCTTGCTCAGACTAATCCATGCCTGTCACGGTTTGTAAATCAACGACATGTTCTGAGTCCTCTAGGTGTGACATCAAATTTTCAGGAAAGTCAGATTCCTAAAAGCAAGCGGTGAATGCCCGAAATCTACTGAGACCCTCAACTCCGCAAGATGCTGACCGGGCAGACAACGCCCCGTCAATATGCAGTGCATCACAGCCTTGTATCGAACCCAGACAGCGCGAATCAGCGTTGATCAGGGTATGACAACGCCCCCGCAATATGCAGCGAATCACAGCTTCTTACCAAAGCCAGACTGCGTGCGTCACCAGTGGACGAAGTTCATACAGTGTCCCTTTAATAAATAGATTGAGGCCGTTGCATTTTTGCACTCGCATGCACTCACTTCCTTGTTCGAAATATAGCTGTTGTGTACCCTTTTGTAATTCTTTTCTCGATCACTGGGCACTGGAGCAAGTTCAGCAAGGTACAGTACAAAACACGCTGAATCGTTCAAATTTCAACAAGCAAAAGTTCCTGGAGTGAAAATTATTTGCATTAACCTAATTTGATTATCTCGCGGCACGCTTACGGCATCTCCAATTCATGAAACCTCGCTGCTTGCTCAGACTAATCCATGCCTGTCACGGTTTGTAAATCAACGACATGTTCTGAGTCCTCTAGGTGTGACATCAAATTTTCAGGAAAGTCAGATTCCTAAAAGCAAGCGGTGAATGCCCGAAATCTACTGAGACCCTCAACTCCGCAAGATGCTGACCGGGCAGACAACGCCCCGTCAATATGCAGTGCATCACAGCCTTGTATCGAACCCAGACAGCGCGAATCAGCGTTGATCAGGGTATGACAACGCCCCCGCAATATGCAGCGAATCACAGCTTCTTACCAAAGCCAGACTGCGTGCGTCACCAGTGGACGAAGTTCATACAGTGTCCCTTTAATAAATAGATTGAGGCCGTTGCATTTTTGCACTCGCATGCACTCACTTCCTTGTTCGAAATATAGCTGTTGTGTACCCTTTTGTAATTCTTTTCTCGATCACTGGGCACTGGAGCAAGTTCAGCAAGGTACAGTACAAAACACGCTGAATCGTTCAAATTTCAACAAGCAAAAGTTCCTGGAGTGAAAATTATTTGCATTAACCTAATTTGATTATCTCGCGGCACGCTTGGAGTATGTTTTTATCAGGAAGGTCAGCTTCCTGAAAGCAACCACTGAATGATCGGAATCTACGGCGACTCTCAGCTCCGCTGGGTGTTGACCAGACAGACAACGCCCCCTCAATATGCAGCGCGTCACAGCCTTGCATCAAACCCAGACAGCGCGAGTCAGCGTTGATCAAGGACAGACAACGCCTCCGCAATATGCAGCACGTCCCTGCCTCGTACTAAAGCCAGACCGCGTGCGTCAGCACTGGACCAAGTTCAGACACTGTCCTTCCGATAAAAAGCTTGAGGCCGTTGTACTTTTCGCACTCGCACGCACTCGCGCTCTCGCACCCACTTTATTGGAATATAGCTATTGTGTTCCCTTCCGTGGGCCTTTCTCTCTCCGACACTAGGCACTGGAGCGGGTCAGCAGCAGACACCACAGACCGGCGAATCAGCAGATATGACAGTTCATACCAAGCTTGATACCCAGGATAGAAGTATGGGTCCCCATCCTTCTGCGTTGCAGACTGTGATGTAAATTTAGCCGGATTAGACTCATTCTGAACAACGGGACCTCAGTCCTACCCACTGGTATGAATCCTACATCTGGCTTTACCATTCGATGCAGCTGCGAATGCGACGTCATCTGTCGTTTATCAGCTAATTAGGCGGGTTCATGAAGACCAGTAGTCAATAAATTCATCCTACGTCACTTTTGGGTGATTGGCATTCCAAATCACTGAACAGGTATACTTGTGTGTGATGTGTGACCTGCTCTTTAGAAAACCCAAAGTGAGAAGGTTGTCGTTTAATGCCAGCGAGTTTTTGCCATTTGCCACTTCGGCGGAAAGCTGCTCGTGTAAATGAAACGAAAATGGCGCGCACAGCGCCCAAAGCAGCATTCGGTGCCGACTCTGATGCGCTCCTGATCGGTTTCAGCATGCTAGAGGAGACACCCGTAAGCAGGGATATTTTGGTGTTTTTGAGTGACCTTGTAGTCTTGGCTGCACTAAGACACTAAAGCTTCCCTAAGTCATCTGTGGAGCCCTTGAAGTCCATTTTATTACCAAAGTTTAGGTGGGCAGCTGCTTATATGGCCGTCAGAATAACCCGCCCGGTGCGACTAAGCGTGGAAGACCACTTCCAGAGTAATACATATTGAAGAGGCGGTATAGGTGTTCTCTGATGCCTGCGGAATATACTTCTTCTCAACCTTTGTTGCCAACCGGGTAATAGACGTGTATAATGTCGTGAATCAAGCAGTTGACGCACGTAACTTGAAGCTCAGTCAAGGATATACATCCTCACCTCAACGCATTGGCCGTTAGCTACGTCAGAGGCCCATTGAATTACGACCTCAACAAACAACCCGGTAGACCGTAGTTGGATAAACAGGTTAGTGCATTCGTGTTCACGACGGAGCAGTTTTCTGTTTTGGTGAAGCTATGTTTCTAGCGTTACATTAGTGCTGTGAGTGAAACAAATAGGCTTCAGTGAGCATACAGCAGTTTAAAGAGGACCGGAAAATGCAACTCACATGTACGACAAATCCACAAGTGTGGCCGGTGACGCCGTTCGTGCGTAGCGACTTTAAGCTTGAGATGGGGACTCAGTTATTCGAACGATTGTAAATCGCCGACACCTGTGATCGATCTGGTCATAACTCGCTTCCACGAACCGGATAATCGCAATTCCCAGACTCTTCCTATCTAAGGAGAAGATGGACCATGGAATATGGTCGTGCCGCAAAAACGTTGATGTTTTCCTCAAGCAAGCTTGCTAAGAGACTGATTTATTTGAAAGAAAAGGCGTGATAAGCGACTGATTTAGGCCCTTTTATTTCAAACATAGGTGCCAACATTAGGATCTCTGCGAATATATCCTCAACCATTTGAAAAATTCAGCGATATCCCCGCAAAAGTCGTGCAACCTGTCGGCCGATCAATTCTCACTATGACGGATGCCATCTGTTAGTAAACGTACAGCGCTAACTCATATCCAAAGGAACAATGAAACTGCTTGACTTTACGCCTCAGGTCGTTTGATATCATGCTATTAGACCGGTTTAATGCATTATTTTATGTTCATTCAGAAACAACCTTACCAGTGACAAACTAAGCTTGCTGGTGATGCTAGTTAAACTGAGTTACATAATTATGGTGCTGTTGGATAACAAGTGAGGGTGCACTGAACGTTTTGTTATGTAGAATAAAAACATAGATGGGTTGACGTATAAATTTTCGGTAAGGTCTTTGCAAATATGGCTTGCTAAAACATCATTGTCAACCTCCTTTTGTTCTTAATTTTTTTTGGGAGGATATTCCGCATTTTCGGTTGCAACAACCTCATTCAGCAGCATCGCGCTGGACTAAAACAAATGTACTACCTAGCTGGTGTTTTGTAAAACTGCCAAGAAAAGTGCATCTTCTCCAGCGCCTGTTTCCACTGGAGTTCCTCAAGGCTCCGTTCTAGGACCACTGCTGTTTCTGGTCTACGTCAACGACCTCCCAAATGTTCTTACAAGTCCACGTCTAGTTTTTGCGGACGACTTGAAATCCTGGAGTTCCAAAGCCACTGCCCTCCAAATGGATGTAGACGCTGTAAAGCAGTGGTCGTTGGACTGGCACCTTCCTCTGAATGACGAAAAGTAGTCCATATGTCGTTTGGAGTGGACTCAGCGAATGCCTTTGTTATGCATGGTGAAGAGGAACCAAAAAACATCACGAGGATATATGCCATGAAGGAGTTGGGCATCTGGGTCTCNAGGAACAATGAAACTGCTTGACTTTACGCCTCAGGTCGTTTGATATCATGCTATTAGACCGGTTTAATGCATTATTTTATGTTCATTCAGAAACAACCTTACCAGTGACAAACTAAGCTTGCTGGTGATGCTAGTTAAACTGAGTTACATAATTATGGTGCTGTTGGATAACAAGTGAGGGTGCACTGAACGTTTTGTTATGTAGAATAAAAACATAGATGGGTTGACGTATAAATTTTCGGTAAGGTCTTTGCAAATATGGCTTGCTAAAACATCATTGTCAACCTCCTTTTGTTCTTAATTTTTTTTGGGAGGATATTCCGCATTTTCGGTTGCAACAACCTCATTCAGCAGCATCGCGCTGGACTAAAACAAATGTACTACCTAGCTGGTGTTTTGTAAAACTGCCAAGAAAAGTGCATCTTCTCCAGCGCCTGTTTCCACTGGAGTTCCTCAAGGCTCCGTTCTAGGACCACTGCTGTTTCTGGTCTACGTCAACGACCTCCCAAATGTTCTTACAAGTCCACGTCTAGTTTTTGCGGACGACTTGAAATCCTGGAGTTCCAAAGCCACTGCCCTCCAAATGGATGTAGACGCTGTAAAGCAGTGGTCGTTGGACTGGCACCTTCCTCTGAATGACGAAAAGTAGTCCATATGTCGTTTGGAGTGGACTCAGCGAATGCCTTTGTTATGCATGGTGAAGAGGAACCAAAAAACATCACGAGGATATATGCCATGAAGGAGTTGGGCATCTGGGTCTCCTCAAACTTATCCTTCTCACTAAATCATGAGAAATCGGTTCAAAAGGCATTCGCCATTTTACGGATGATCCGACGCACCTCCCGTATTACTCGCATGGACTTCTAAACGCTCTATGGGGCCTACGTCAGACCGCTCCTGGAATACGCCAACCAAGTTGTCTACTCAGGACGCACGAAAGACGTCACCCTCATTGAGTGTGTCCAGCGAGCCGCTACGAGACTGGACTACGAAACGCGTCTCGCAATGTTTGGTCTCTTTCCCCTGGAGTCCCGTCGCCTCCGAGGGGACCTAATTCTTACTTATGCCCTGTCTGAACAAAGCTTCGCAAACAGGTTTTTCACCATTGACCCAGCAAACACACGGCGGGGACATAGTAAGGAAATTTAAAAGCTCAGAGCACACACATTCATTGGACAAAACTTTTTTTCATTTCGGGTAGTAGCTGCATGGAATGACCTTCCACCGGCGGTTGTTCACGCTCCTTCTAGAACCCTGTTTAAAGCACTATTAGACACTTATTTATGCAAATCCTCGCGCTGGCAAGCATACTGTCCTTCGCTGAGAACATAAAGAGCAGTGCTACACCCTTTTTTCACTTGTGCCTTTCAGGTGAACGACAGCCACTGACCGACAAGAACAAAAGCGACCCGGGAAACTTGGGCACCTCGATCGATCCTGTGTATCAATCCGTGAATCCGTGAGGTTGCAAGAAGCTTCTGGCTATGAGTTGTTGAGCGACGAGACGTGGAAACAATATACGGATTTCTGCCAAAGCTACGTTTCGAGGAAAATAGCCTCTGTGAGCAGCGGATAGTTCGGAAGTATGCTGAAATTACTTGGTAGGGATCTAGCATCTTGAGGAAGGAGACACCCCAAAAGAACATATTTGTAGGCTACATTTTTCGGAAGGATACAAGTCGCTCTGTACTTTAAAAGAGAGGACTATGTTTACTCGTTCACGAGACCAGTGGAGTACCTTAGAAGTCAAACGTAGATACATTGCAGGAACTGGAGCACGTTTTTAAGTGGGATATGGCCCGTTGTTTGGAACTCAATATCTCACTCTTCGTTTACGTGTCCGTGTGTATACCTTACCTCACCGTTGCTCATATCGTGCACACATGAACTGGTGCCCATCAATTTAGCCTATTTAGTTTATTTGACCTAAAGGGGGGAAGAGAGCCTTCTATAGTCATCTCGATGCACAAGTAAAGGCTCTAGATTTTAAACATATTTTACTGGTATTATAACTAACTCTATCATGAAAATGGATCCACTGTTGCATAAAAGTATCTGTCCTCGACGTAAGTATATTTTTAATTATTATCCTCTGGCGCTAACGGTGACGTATATAGACAAATTTGCTTCTTCCACGTGACGTTTTTGGTATTAAGCAGCACTTCATGCTACCGCTGTGGTCACGCTGAGAACTCTAGCTTGTTACCAGAAAATGTATCAACATTGGTTTCCCCACCATACGTATTCTAAAATCATTCTGCAGGCGCATTCGTCCTGGAAATAGGTAGACTAGGGACTAGTGGAACGTAACGAGACACTGCCGCAGAAAAACCAAACGGAATGTATATAAGTATATGCATGTATATGCAATGCTAAAGCAATATGGTCACTGTAGGAAAGTTTACTGCGCGACTGAACCAGTACCGTATTACCTGTGGAGTCATATGTTAATGGAGTGCTCGTCCATAATTAAGAGCGGCTGAATGTTCCTTCTCTGATAAATTTGGACCGAAAACATCTGCACGTATTTTCAGGCACACTGTAGCTGCCACCTAATTTTGTGCAGCTATATCCGACTTTATATAATCCTCATGTAGGTACGAACAGCCCGCGTGCGTACCACTTATCACTTATCGTGCAATAATTCTCGCTTTCCCCATACAAATTATAAGTGGCACTGGCGTCCACCGTTGTTTTTTCATCATAATAATGTTTATTCCCAACTTGTTAGTGGCATGCCATCACGCATGAACATGAGATAGCAGTCAGAAGAAAAGCATAACTGGCCGGGATCGTGGGTGAAGGGGGTTTTTGGGAAAAGGGACAGCGTCATAGGGGGTTGGCATTATCCGATGTAGGCGTGGTCACCACTAAACCGGCACGGGCATGGAAGCACAGTTACTGTGCGTTTTTTAGGGAATAACGAGTAAGATCTGATCGTTAGGATCTAAAGTTGGCGGCCAAAAACAACGGGAGTGAAGGCAAGACAAGATGCTCCATGCCTGAAACATCACAAGAAAAGTGTAAACGGTGGAAAAATGACGTGCCAGAACATAAAATCTGGTGAAGCAACAGAGTTGGCATCATTCAGCCCGTCAAACTGAACCAAAATCTAGAAGCACCGCTGAGGCCTCGTGACCCTGACTGTTGGGTTCATGGCCAGGGTCAGAAAAATTACCAGTGGGGATGATGAAGTGGAAGGATTGGCAAAGCGGATAAACGGGAACGGGAACCTCAGAAATATGTTGTACAGCGAAGCTGCAGAGATTCACTAGTGCCCCGCTTGTGGATCCGGGCATAGTAGTTCCTTGGTAGAGAAAGATGGTGACAACACATGAGCCGGAACGTGAACTGTATAGGTCGGCTTTGCGGGAAGCACATACACATAGAAATGGTTAAGTTCAAAAGAAAGGTCAAACAGATTGGAATTAACATGTCATGGAGGCAGCTGAGGGCAGGCGAGGAGCTTGTTTGTATTTGCAGTTAATGGGACGAGTGAACGAGAGTGTACGGTAGGAGTATGGAGGGAATAATTGCAGGTGTGCTATCAAACTGGATATGGTACACACTTTGGCATGGACACGACGGCGTTGTTCGTCTTCAAAAGTAAAAAACATGGAATGAACGGTTTGCATCACATTCTTTGAACTTATTTCTGCGGTAGGTGCATGTAACAAAAGCTCCAATAAGCTTCATTATTTGTAATGACTAACGCCCCGGTCACTATCCTTAGCTGGGACTAAATGATTGTGGCCAGTTTGCTTCATGATGGAGCCAAAGTTAGCTGACTGGGTTGTTCGGTGTCTAACACCGTCTAAACTATAAATCTGTACTTTATAGTCAATCAGAATTTTTTACACGTTATGTCTTGAGCACCGAGTTTGAAAAAACCTATTGGCAATCGCTGAACCAAATGGATGCACAGCTTATATATCACTGATTTCCTTGCGTCCTCTGAAATTACGACGACATACATTTTCGAAATTCAGCAGTCTGTTACTCTTAGCGAGTAACTAGTCGATAATCCTTGATATTAAAAATGATGTTTGTCCCCAACCATCATATTATGTTCCTTAGAGAAATGTAGTGTTTGTACTGCGGTAAAACTTCTGCAGGTGCAAAGACTGTACGCTTAGAATAGCAGCAAGTTTGGATAGCCACACAAAATATTATCTTGTTTCATGGCAGAGCAGAAGGTACACAATTATTTGGATGGTGGTTGGGATACGCTAATACAGGCCCTACGGTATCATGGCAGGAGGCTGTCAATGAAGACGTGGACGCTGGATGGTGGAATCAACTTGGGTGTTGCATGCCACGACAAGTATAGTAAGCCAACATACCGAGCCGGGAACTTGGAGCATATCTAAACTGAGTAAACTGGATGATTTAGGGTCAATGTGCCAGGGGTGGGAATTGGGTGGTGGAGCCGGAAAACTAACAGACAAATTTAAGGCCCACTTATGGCAATCAAACCACCTACTGACGAGGCTAGTTTACCGCTGATGTTACTCAGATCATGTCTTCGTTCGCACCCATTCGTAGTATGTTCCTGGGCAAATCCGAGCCCTCTTTTTGGGTCGGTCATACACCTTTAATCAGGTTCAGGATCATTTGAGTAACTCTCTTTGCCGCCGCGATAACGATGAAGTAGTATTTTCTCTTCTATGTCATCGAGTACCCACTGCAATTAACCGTTTTTGCTGATTTGGTCCGATCTCTTCCGTTCTACGACCCCTCTCTAATTGTAGCTTGGTACCCCAGTCGGTCGTTGACTATCTCGTCTGGCTTTCGCGGTTGTTGAGTTTCCGCCCTCTATTCATTCATCCATTTTCAGTGGCCCCAATTAGTCCACGAATCAAAACTTGCCTATTTATTTGCATAGCTAACCTAAGTATTTCCGATAGTCGTAGTGAAATCCCTTTTTAAAAGCCGTTTCGTATCATACTAACCGTAGGGATGTCCAACAAACTAAGTACATCGGCGCAATATAGAGCACCAAGCACGTCACGCCTACGAGTTTTCCGTTTTCGTTCTGATATATGTTACTTGTGAGGAAGTGGAACGATGCATTGCATTGATTCGAGTCATTGTCTTTCTTCTCCCGCAAATAGCCCCGATCCACCATCTTCATTTATGTTTTGACGTCCTAAGTAGTTAACTCACATATTCAAGTATATTCGACCTTGGTGACGCTTACCAATTGTGGCCCCAAATCTTCTACCTCTGGCTCTTACTTGCCTATGCAAGACGGGTTTCATCACACTGTAGTATGATTGCTGACAAATTCACTGGTCTCCACTACATGTATCGCATTATTTTGCCGTCTGTTGCTTGCTACACGTCAACCGTGGTGATCTGGCTGCGCGAAAATGAGCGTGTCTCTAATGAGTCGATAAATAAATGGATCATTAGGCTCTCTACGTCTCTTTAGACACCGCTTTCATCTGATAACATAATTTTGGTATCCCGAGGGCTCGTGCATTACTTAGTTGCAAGCCCTATTTTTGAGGTTAATCAAGCTTACTTAAAGGGAACCCAAATCTTGCAAGATCATGGTCTAAACCACAATCGGTGGCCGGTGACGGTTTTCATAGTTGTTTGACATGAGAGGAACGAGTAACAACTTTCTCTCCACACAAATGCATCGCAACAAACAGACGACTAGTGGTCGTCGCTATGTGGTGAATGCCACCCACCTCTGTTACCGTGTTTAGAAACCAAACTAGATACGCAACCCAAATATGCCTCAATAGAACCAAAATGACTCAGTTGTGGACGTTAGCTCCTTGCGGTATGTAGATGGATTTTTATTTCTTGATACGAGAGGTTCTCCTGCTCCATTAGTCCATATATGTTTACCACAAGTAATATGTGATTGCTGCTTTGAGCAGTGCCGGTAGGAGATTTCCGATCTGACTGTTTACGGGTGACAAACCAAGCGAGGTATCTTTTCTTGATTAAACCAGCAACCCACGCCAGCGCCCCCAGAACGGCCACTAGTTTGTGTCCGGTGTTTACCGGAGAATGGGTTTAACGCGGGCTCAGTTCTTATGCTTGGATCTTGAATTAGAGTTCCGGAACTACAGCAAGCTCCCATAAATGAAGCACGGAAAGTACGCACAGGTGCATTTCTTTAGCCACTTCGTCGAGGAGTTTACATCTCAAGGGCTGTGGTGAACAAACAGGAGTAGCCTTAGTGACTGGTGTAAAGCGGCATTTGTAAGCAGTATCATGCAATGCGTTCATTTACTCGGCACCTGACCGACATTCTCACAGGTTGGATCCACATGAGGGGAATGATAATCAGGACGAAAGAACTTAACTTGTTAATGCTCTACTAGAACCCAAAAATCAGTTATGTGAACGAGAAAACGGAGAGCACTAACAATATCAGCCTGTTGAGTAAAATTATTACAACAGATATATATGCGAACAAGGGACTTATCGTTTTGCAAGTACAGGTTGATGAACTCTGTTGTAAGACTAGATGCAGGTTTCGTGTCTTCTTCGCCATTGTAACAGCCACACGTAGTCCTGAATATCCGTGAGTGAAGTGCCGTAAGTCCTGAGCGGCTCTGCTCCGAACTGGGTGACGTGTGAAGCTCTGTTGAGTTGTGTTGCTGTGCTGTTATCCTATGTGTAGGAACGTTTGCTTGTGTGGGTGTCAGCGCATGACTTGTTGCTACCTTATCGGACGGAAGACAGTCGACGTCAGATGAGTCACCCTTATGTGTCATGATCTGTACGTTTAGGGAAAGGAAGACAAGTCTTGGGATCAAGGGCTTGGCTGTGAGCTATGTAGTCAAGTGAGTCACAATCCTGTGGCGTGATTTGTGAGTGCAAGAAAAAATAGATCTCGTTACCTAGCGAGTGGCGGTGAGCTGTACAGTCATGTATGTGGCGAAAGAGTAGCCACAACCTCAACAGGGACAAAATCGAACAGGCGTCGAAAGTTTAATTTTTTACTCTCGCACTCTCTTCATGCAGAACATAAGGCGACTCAGCTGACTTCGGCCTAGGTTGCAGAAAGGAAGGTTTGTTTGTGGAATTCATGATTGCATATAGTTTTGCAGTGCTTGAATACGCAAACCCAAAACGGAGAACAATTCGGATCATCAGCCAACACCTTCAGTTTGAAAGCTGGACAGCCGACAGCAGTGTTTAGCCTAAGGTTTGTGGAACATTCTAACTCTTCAAGAATGATTTCCATTAATGTTCCTGGTTGCCGGGTTTCTGTAATTGTCGGGCCACAAATCGTTCAACTGCTGGGTGGGAAAAATAGGCGCAGTATCATGGTGGACTATAATGTTCACAACTAATCAAACTGTGATCGGTACAAGCCGTTCCACGATGAGGAGCCGCGCTGGATCACTCAGCCGTATTGCACTTCCTCTGAGGCCTTGCGGCGTCAGATACAAGGCGCCTTCCGAAGCTAGATGGTTCTAACCCATTAAACACGCGTAAAATCAAGTGCAATAAACGAGCAGCAAGCTAAAACGGATATCGCATTGTTACACGCACCAGTCATTGAGTTTCAACAAGCCAAATCCACAACGATGCACAGCTAACGGTCGTTCAATTGAAGGAGGCTTTGTGCAATAATCTATATACCCGAATATGATGGTATTCTGCTGCGCATTTGCTAAAGGCCACGCACAAATCTGAATCCAGGCAAGCAGTAGTCTGCTGATTACCCATGATAATTTCACAACTCGAACTCGGATGCCTATTGCAACTGAGTAGAGAACCTGTAGTGTCTGTAATCCGTTGTCACATTTACCATTCTTCCTGAACTTGAACCACACTTTGTAACTGTCGTTCACATTGTATCATGACGTTTGTTTTAATGTTACGAACACACAATTTTCCGGTGCGACCTGCTGACTTCTTGCTGAACGACAGTATTTACGCCCGTTGAACTGTTTGTTGACTGTTGAACCAGTGGGACTAAATCTCTGTGTTTGTGTCAACTGTT